CCCCCCCCCCCCCCCGCTGGAGTGTGCACTGGGACCAGCTTTGCTGTGAGAGATCCCTGGGACAGCAGGAGTTGCTGTATGGAGACACAGAAGGTGCAGCGGGCAGGAGCATCAAAGCCTGTGTGCTGGGCTTGGTTAACAGGCATCCCAGCAACTACATTTCAGAAATGCCCAGTTTCTGTAGGTATTTCTACTGTATCTCCCACAAACCATCTCGCACAGTGTGCAGCTCTGCATTGCTGAGCCGAGTCTAGGACCACAGACTAAGGGAACTCACGGCATGGGGCAGGGAGATTTGGCTGGGAACAGGCTGGGGAAGTGGGAGTAGTTCCGAACAGAATTAGTAAAACATTGGAGGTCTCCTGCTCACACAGTTCCTGTTCCAGCATCTCTCAGCAGCCCCGCTCTCTGCCCATCCATTTGAAGCCTGGCTCCCGGCAGATGGCACACGGAGTCCGTCTGTCTGGGTCTGTCCCTGCTCTGCTGGGCAGCACTGGGGGAAATCCTGCAGGGATCCAGCATCGGCCCCGATGCTGCCATTCTTCACTGTTGGCTTCTTGTGGGGTGATGTCCAGTTCTCCCAGCTCCTGCCTGTCCCTGGTGTCTCCAGCTGTGTGTAGTAAAGCACCGCTTATGGCCACGCAGCAGGAACTCTGCAAGGACACCAGTTTATTCTTGGCTTGCGGGAGCCAGGTCACAGCAAAAGCACATGTCAAAGAGGAACTTCCATCACGAATATTATTCCATGTACTTTGAACTTCTTTCTTCTCCCCTGCCCCCAATTGAAGTTATATTAGTGAATATTGTTTGTGGTGCTCAGGAAACATGAGTGTTTGACCTTCCAGAGCACTGGCAAGGGTCTGAGCTGCAGCACTATGCAAAATACATGCTCTGTAATTAATAGCCCTTCTTTGGTGTTTATTAGAGCAGATGATTGGCAGTGTAGAATAGAACAAATTCAATAATGAAAAATATGCTCCAATCTCAAGATGCTTTTCAAGTTATTAGGAAATGGCACTAAATCTGCATTAACTGGGCACTTGAAAGCTCTTGCAGACTGTTTGCAGACATTCAGAGGAAGAATTGACATTTATGAAATAATTTCCTCATTTCTAGTAGCATCACAAAGCTGACTGTATCTGGCTGTGATGTCATTGAACATGCCAGATCCAAAGAGAGCTGCTGGAAACAGCCTCAGATTTGTACCTCGCTCCAGAAATGACGCAAAGACACCACACACAAGAGATGGTATTTCCTGTCTCACTGAGAGATGCCTGCTTCATATTTTTGATGATTACTACTGTGAGAGAGAAACTAGCAAATTCTGGAAGTTACACATGCCGAGACACCCTTCAGAGCTGACGTGAGCTTCATCTGCTACCAGGCAGCTCCACCACTGGCGATTGTAAGGGATATTCACTTTCTGTTTTTTCTCCCCCCCGTCTTTCCTGATTGTAGCTTGTGAGAATAGCTTAAAACCACCCTCAGTTTTGAAATCTATTTATAAACCTGACAAGGATGCATCAAATTGCTGTCTGGTTGGTTTGTCAACTTAAAAAAACATAAACCACCTTCGTGCTGGTGTTAATACTTGACGTGACGAAGCAGTTTAGGTGCCTCAAGGGGGCAGGAGAGGAAGGGCTTCAAAAATACATAGCAAGATCCAAGGTCTTAAAGGCATTGAGGGAGATATTTGGGGATGTGTGTGGGATTTATGGGGTTAGAACTGTTTCCATAAGGGTATTTTTGAGACATGTAGATGGAAAGCATATTTTCCGGTGCCACTGTACCTATCCTCCCTCCCTCGGTCGATGTGTGTGCCCGGCCCTGCAGAGACCCTTAATTCCTTCTGCAGTCCTAGCAAGATCTGACTTGGATTTCTTAAGTTTGGGTGAGTGCTTCAAGCCAGTTGGGCAAAAGACATCTGGATAGCTAGTTTTGGGGGACGGAGGCTTAAGTTGATGGCCACTTTTACATTATTAAATCCTCTGGCTTTTTGTGGGACTCAAAACTACTAAATGATGGATTTCCTGAATCCAGGCATGAGTGTGCAGGCACACTGAGAAAGTGGCTGGAGCACTCCGGTGTGACGTGGGAGATGACAGGTACTTTTAATTCCTTCCTTTGCCTCACCAGAGTAAGACCTTGATGTTGTTTCATTTTGACCCCAGGCAAGCACCCTCCTCTGCTGCACCATCTCTGGGAGCAGCTCCCTTACTTCTCCTGATGCTATTACATTTTGTTCATTAGTCAAGGGAACTGATCTCACCCACTGCTGGGCTAAATGTAACCGCAAACCCAGGGCATCTTGCCTGAGCCTACATTAGTGAATAAGGTGTCCAAACTATTGCAGTGATCTGTAACAGAAGACACCTTCTATTTTCCATCTTTCCTGAACAAGGATGTCACTTCATTCAAAATTACAAGTTTGAATTGCTTTGCTTTAAGAGGAGTTGGGCATAATTGGGGGTTAAAGAGCATGAAAACTTGGAATTGATTATAGTGTGATCCTGTGGCTGCCCCCACCACCCATTTAGTCTCAGTCTTCACTACCTGAACTGCAGCCTTGAAAAACCTTCTCACAGCTCCGCATTAACTCTGAGGGCTGTTAAACTCTGCAGGAGCAGTACTTTTTTTCTTTTTTTCTTTTTTTTATTCTCTTCCTCCTCCTCTTCCTTCTTCTTTTAATCATTCTTTGTGCTTAACCTAATGAACCTTCTCTGTAAGACCCTGATTAATAGAAAAGAAAACTGAATAGAAATGATTAGGTGTCATCAATAAGCAGCAGTTTGATCCTCCACCCATAAACTGTCAGTGTGGTGGCATCAGCCTCACAGGTACCTTACCACTTCATACTTCTGCCTTCCAGGGATGTGGGCAAGGTCACACAGGCCTCTGGAATAGAGCTGGGATTGCTGAGACAGTGCTTGGCTGGTTGCTGCTGGTTCTCTGCACTCCGTCAGGAGATACAGGCAGCTGGAAGTAATGAGCAAATAGGAGACACCTTCATATAATGTTGCAAATATAGGATCTTGGCAAAATGATCAGGCAAAATGATAAAATGTATTTTATGGGAAGTGGGGGAATATGTAAAACTAAACCTAAAAAAAAAAAAAAAGAACAAAAAAAAAAAAGAACACATGAACCCTTAAGCATCTTTAGAGCTCCAGGTGGGGACATCCCCTGTTCAGGATTGCCTTAGCATTTTCTTTGAAAAATGTCTGCTCAGAAACCCTCAGGGCACTAGTGTTTGTTCATCTGCCCTTTTCTCGGGTATTTCCCCTGCAGTATCCTCAGGTAAAGAAATCTCAGCCTGTATTGCAATAGCTGCTTTGTGTGGGTACAACATCTGTTTGTCTTGATAAACAAGGTGTGGTTTGTCACCAAGAGACTGCAAGCAAATATCAGCAAAAGCTGCACATATGATCTTTGTTCGTGGAATGCTGACAGCCTCACTGTAAAAAAACACATCTTAATCAGACCTTCAGTCTGGAGAATAACATGACCTCTCTGTGGTGAGGCAGCAGCTGATTTAGGTGAGAGGAAAAGACAATTTTCAGAAAAAGACAATAAAAAGACCATATAAGAACAGCTCTGGTTTTCTGGGTCATCCTCAGCTGCTCACAAGCTGTTTCTGGCTCTAGCACAAGAAGTCGAGGAGTAGCAACACAACCCTGATGCGATTGTAGGTAAGGAGGTTTTCACTTGACTAGCAACCTTGGTGAGGAATTTCCACAGAGTTGAGAATGAGTCTCCATCCGGGCTTGTATCAATCATGTTCCTTCTGTAAAATGAATCGGTCCTATTTTGCAGTGGAAATGACATCCCAAGTGGAGGATGGAGCAGGAAACTCTAACCACATGCAAGCATTTCAGCACCTTTGTAATTTAAAGGAAGGTTTTCTGGAGGTAGTAGGAGTTAGAAAAGAAAGACAGAAGAAGTTGTTGCATTATAGTTAGACTAAGAGGCTGATGTTCTACCCAAGCATGCAATCTGTCTGTCTTTCATTCCTTCTACTCCTACATTTAAACACATGCACACTGAAAAACCCACTTCAGCTTTAGTCACTTTTAAAGTGTGGGGAACTCATGGTCTCACTGAGATGATATCTGAAGAGTTACTCACTTGTGCCCTTTTAGTTGACATTGAGGATAAGGGGTTTTATAGGGTAAAAGTCCCTCTTCAGGACCTCTGAAACTGAAAAAGTTTGGGCTGAACTTTTCAAAGGGGTCTTGCAACGTAGGAGGCCCAAGTTGCATTCCTTAGTGCTGATGTTTTGCTTCCCCAACTTGGCTTCACAGGACACGGTGGAGAGGAATAGAGGAGACATTTGAAATGGCAGCTATGACTATGCCATACAGACAGGAGCTTGCAAACTGCAACACCCCCCCCACCTAGTCCCCCAGTGCAGCTCCCAAGGGTCAGCCCGGCAGGCTCACACGCACCGCTCTCTGGAGAGGAGCCTCCCAAGCCCACACACAGTGTGCAGGATGACCACAAGCCATGGTGTGCTCATGAG